CAGGCGCTGCTGCAGCAGGTCCCAGGCCTTGTGCACCTGCACCAGAACCGGGCGGGCTCAGAGCCACAGCACAGTCCCGGCTCTTCCCTCCCAGCTGAATTCTGAATTCTCATCCCCAAATCCACCCGTTGTGGCAGCCTCGATAGTGAGCAGCACACCCAGGCATGGCCTGAGCACACACTGAGCGCCCTGCAGGTGCTGTCACATCCCCTGAGCACCCCCTGAGCACACACAGAGCCCTGCAGGTGCTGTGGCATCCCCCAGAGCACACACCCAGCCCTGCAGGTGCTGTGACAGCCCCATCTCACCTGCTGGCGGGTGATCTCGGGCTCCCAGAGGCTGCACAGCACCACCTGGGACTGTTCCACCCTCTGCCTGTTGCTCATCTGGCTCTGCAGCCGGCGCCGAGCGGCCTCCTCGGTGAGCCCATCCCTGGCCACAATGCGCCTCACGGCCTGCCGGGGACACAGGGGACACTCAGCAGCCTGGCAGAGGCTGAGGAGCAGCTCCAGCAGCAAGTGAGGGGCCCTGGCGTTGCCCACCTCCTCCTCTGGGATGATGGCTGTCCACACCTCGTGCACCATGTCCTGCCAGCCGGCCTCCAGCAGCACGGCAGCGTCCAGCACACACACGGCTTTCCCTAGGGAAAAAAGGCGAAAAAAGGCATTCCTCAGTGCCTGGGCTCACTGCCACCTTCCTGACGCTTCACTGCCCTCCTTACCTTGAGCATCAGCCTCCCTGACCTTCTCCATCACCATCTGGGCTATTCTGGGCCACACGATGTCCGTCAGCCTCTTCAGCTGCTCCTGGAAAGGAGCACAGCAGGATTTGAGATGCAGCCCCTGGTCCTCTGAACCCCTCTGCAGCCAGCCAGGAGAGTGGGGTGTAAGCACTCTGGGGACACCCAGGAAGGAGCCACTGAAGGAGGGGAGGTGGGTCCAGCCCATCACTGAGCACCAGGAAGGAGAGCTTTCACCCTGGCCAGAGGCTCCCATTCCTGCTGCCAGGGTCAGCATGCTTTTTCCTATTATTTTCTGCCATTAGGGCCCTGCTATTAGCAGATATCTCTCTGTGAGAGGTTCTTTGCTCCACACCACAACAAGCTCCCAGTGCAGCAGGTCCCACAAAAGACATTCCATCCAGGGAACCTCTTGGTGTGTCTAACTTGGCTTGGGGAAGCAGTAGAGCAACAGGCTGAGCACTTGTAAGGGCCAGGTGCCACTGGGTACAAGGGGCAGAGACCCCTGGCTGTGTTTGTCAGGTCTGTTCCTCTGAGCTGATTAAGGAAAAGCACGGTATGGAGGAGATGGGGATGGCAACAGGGACAGGGATGGGAACAGGGACAGGGATGGGGACAGGGAGGCAGCAGCAGCTGCAGGGCAAGAGCCATATATATCCAGCCCAGCTGCTGATTCATCTGCACAGATGCAATCTGTCCCACCCTGTCCCCATGCCAGAAAATACAACCGGGAAGGTGTCACCATCTCAAAGGGCTGAAAACTCAACCCCTCTGTCACAAGAGAACAGCCCACGCTCGCAGCATTAAGTATTTATAATAAAGCTGCTTTTACCTGGTTTCCAAACACTTTGGCCCCAAGGACTTTCCTGTTAATGGTTCCATCTTTGTTCAGGATCTCTGCAAGGCAGAAGCACAACAGGTTTGGGAGGGACAACTCCCATCCCTGTGGCAAGCCTGGGTTGGGGAAAGGGCTTTGGCACAGGGCTCTCAACAGGTACAGGTAGAAACTCCTGACCTGGCAGCTCTTCACCTGATTCCTGAAAAGGACAGGGAAGAGCTTTTCCCAGGCAAACAAACAACAGCCTGGTTCATCATTCCCCACCAGCAGCTGTGACACGGGACACACAAACACTTGGGGAACCCACGGGGAGGAAGGGGGCACAGGCCAGGGCTGTCTGGGACACCAGGACACCCCTCCCTCCTCTTCCTCCTCCCTGCAGCCTCAGTGCCCCTACCTGCCCCAAAGGCTGCCACCACTGCCTCGTGGGCCGGGCCACCAGGGGCATAGACGGCGTGGCCCAGCTGGTCAGCGTCGATGACGAAGGCGCCCAGCTGCCCCAGCAGTTTGGCCATGGAGGTTTTCCCACTGCCAGTGCCCCCAGTCAGCCCAATCACGTAGGGGCGCAGCGGCAGGGCCGGGTCTCGCTGAGGGAAAGAGGAAAGCCGTGGCAGCAGATGGAGAGCTGGGCTTTGCTGGAGAAGGATCCTGGCCTGCAGAGCAGCAGGCAGCCTCTCCAAACTCTCTGAGACTCCCACACCTCCTCCCATGCCCTCCCTCACCCGTGGGGGCTGCAGCAGTGTCCCCAGCAGCCTCTGCCGCAGGCTGGAGGAGCTGATCTTCTCCTCCTCGTTCTGATTGTGCTCAGGGTCCTTCATCAATTGGATTTCATACAGAGCCAGCTCGGGGAGCCCCTGATGAGAGAAGGGAGCCCCAGCCATGAGAATGCAGCAGAGGGAAGGGGCGAATCAAGATCAAATTTGCCCTCAGGCAGGGTGAGAGGGTGGACAGGGATCTCCAGCGTGGGATTTACATTTTCAAGTCTCTTCTTGTTGACAGCCACCCCTCCCCGGTGGGTCTCCTCGCTGACCACCAGGCACTGCAGGTCGGGGTCTGTGACCGAGGGCCCGAAGGGGTCGGCCAGAGGCACGATGTCGTAGCACAGTGAGGGCTTCACATCCTCCAGGAACTCGCGCAGCTTCGCCGCCCGCAGCTCGTAGGGCTCGATCAGCTCTGGCAGCACCTTGTCTGCCGGGCGCCAGGAGGGCGGGGAAGCACAACAGTGACGGAAAAGCAAGACCGAGGGGTGGGAGAAAAGAGAGACCAAGAGATGGGACTTTGAACGCTGCCTCCCCCTTCCCTTGCCCTCGCTGCCCCTGAACGCTTTGCTGGCTGTGGGCACGACA